CTTTTTCCTCAACCTGTAAATTGCTGCAAATTTCAACAGATGATCATATGTCGGCTTAACGTTATCTTGTAAATTGCTACAAATTTCAACCAGTGTTAAGCATCTTCTTTGGTTTAACCAACCTGTAGATTGCTACAAGTGTTTAGCAATAACCTCAGCTTTGCTTCAACTCGTAAATTGTTACGAATTTAAACAAGCGAAGAGAAACAGTAATCTTGGCTTAACTTCAACTTGTAAATTGCTACAAATTTCTACAAGTGAAGATAAGGAACCATCTCAGCTTAACTTCAACTTGTAAATTGCTACAAATTTCAACAAGTGAAGGTAAGGAACCATCTCAGCTTAACTTCAACTTGTAAATTGCTACAAAATTCAACAAGTGAAGGTAAGGAACCATCTCAGCTTAACTTCAACTTGTAAATTGCTACAAATTTCAACAAGTGAATATAAGGAACCATCTCAGCTTAATTTCAACTTGCAAATTGCTACAAATTTCAACAAGTGAAGGTAAGGAACCATTTCAGCTTAACTTCAACTTGTAAATTGCTACAAATTTCAACAAGTGAAGATAAGGAACCATCTCGGCTTAATTTCAGTTAAGCATCATCTACAAATTTCAACAAGTGAAGAACGTCTCGGTTTAACTTCGGTTAAACATCATCTGGGCTTAACTTCGGTTAAGCATTATTTCGGCTTAACTTCGGTTAAGCATCATATTGGTTTAACCAACTTGTAAATTGCTACAAATTTCAACAAGTGGTAAACGCATTCTTTTTCTCTCTGCCCCCCCCCAGTGTGAACTTAAAATCCACTTGGATTCTCATCATACATGTAGCTTCGACCTTGTCGCCGAGGTTTAATTCAAGCCAAGGTTGTCAGCCTTGATTTCTCTATTGATCTTACTTGGCTCCAACCTGAGTTTGATTTTCGGCCTCGCATCGACGAGCCATTTCTCTTTTCTTGTCCCGACGCCTTTGTTCCCGGCATGTCCTCCTCGGCCCTAGCATACTTCTCAATTCTGGCAAACTTTAGGAACCACAAATATTCTCACAGATGTATTTTGTAAAAAGCAAAATCTACATCAAAATAAATCCCAAAACCGTTGGATTCCAACCATAGAGAATTGTAATAGAGCAAGCTACAGAGAATTGTAATAGAGCAACCCATTGGATCTCTTAGAGAATTGTACAAATATTCGATTTAATTAATTATAATAAATTAGGTACAATTCTCTATGGCTTGTGTTATTAAAAAGAACATATCCTCTTATTCGATCTCCGGAGTGGTTGCAATCCAACGGCAGTAGAAGCTTCTTGTTGAATCAAACGCATTGATGGATTTCTTCAAGTCTTCAAACAAAGAAGCTCGAGGAAATGATGCGAGGTCGAGCGCTTGAATGACTTGACCTCGAACAATCTTTACAAATGATCTCGAAAGAAGAAATCAAACTTGCAATTTCTTTATGCTTAGACACGTAAGGGTTTATTTGATGAAAGAGAACCTAGAACGATTGACACAAGTTTTGGAGTGCTTGATAATCCTCCGCTAGAGTTTGAAAAACTTTGGAGAGATTTTTGAGAAATATTTTTGCCAGAACCTTGAGAATGCTTGAGAGGTATCATAGGATCTTAACCAAAGGTCCCTTTTCTCAATAGTGAGAGCTGCTATTTATAGGCATAGAAAACAGTAGTAAATTTTGAAACTCCAAAATTTGATTTTAATTTTCAAGAACAGAGAAATTTGTCTCTTTATGAAAATAATTTGTGTTGAAATTTGAATTTGAATTATTTTGCGAAATTCTGACAATATATCTTTGAGGGCCCCACACCTTTGGGTTGAATTGATTTGTCTAAAAGGGTTAATATTTTTCTTTTGGTATGATCCACATTTCAAAATGGATCGTGTTTCGTAATTTTAGTACGACCCACATTTGTAACTATCTTAATTTTGACTAATCAAAAAAAAATTATTTGTCTTGATTAATCAAAAAGGGCGATCAAGACGTAAACATTTTAGTGTCTACAAATAGTATTCACACTATGCCTCAAAATCCAACATCAATCAGTTCCATAACTTCCAATGCCCTCTCTTATGAAGAAATTCTCTAACAAGAGATTATCTACCTGTTAAACGACTTTGTTCATTTGAGATATATTTTTTAGGTTGTGTTTGGAACATAAATTTGAATAAGAAATTGGAAAGGAAAAAGAAAATATGAGAAAAATGTGAATGAAATAAACTTTTTTTTTTCTTCCGTTTCTCTCACATTTTCTATTTTGTTTTCAAATTCGTACCCAAACCAAATCTATGAAGTAAACTCAAACTTAAATATCTAATGCAAACTAGAAAGTACAAAAGAGAATATTAACAAGTTCAATTCCCCCTAAAAGAGAGTATTGGTTGGAGTAGATTAGCAGCTTTTACTAAAATTCCTGGAATTGGCAAACTTGATTGCTCAATGAGTTTGCCATGCAGACCGTCAAAGTCACCCAAGATCATCTTGATGCTTGACACCATAGTTCTAAAAAATGGCCCTTACAATACATAACAGAAAATCAAGCCTCCGTTTTGGATACTCACCAGTATAGCGGTACAGAAAATTAAGTGTTGAAAAATCTATAAAAAGATTTTTAAAATTTCACAGCTATGACAACCGATTCCCAATACGTACCGACCAATACTACCAATACTGATACTCCGTGATCAATATTGTTACCTTAACCCATATCTCGATTTAGAACCATGCTTGACACTATAGTTGTCAAGCTTTAACTCAAATTAAATTTTTTTGTTTTTGCAAGCTTTGATCTTATCATTATTGATTTGAATTGCTTTTCAACTTCAGAGTATGTTAATGATTTGAATTGCTTTTCAACTTCAGAGTATGTTTTGCCTTCACATCGAATGGAGTTTGAATTTATACAAGGGCCTTCATATCTAGTTTTTGTTTCAGTTCTAGTTATAAAAGGTGGGAATTGCCTGTGTAGGAAAGTGAAAATGCAGCTGATAAAGTTAGTTGCTTCACATGCCAACTCAACGAACACTGCTGCTATTGTGCATTTTCCATTAAATAACTGCATCATTTGGGGTTCATTATGATGGAGTGAAAGAGTTGACATCTAAACAAATAAAATAAAATAAAATGTGTTATCTGGAAAAAATAAAATAAAAATAAAAATTGTATAAACACAAGCAATTTTTCGTAAAAAGCCAAAAAATTACTCAAATAACAGGGTCTCCTCAAACGAGGTCATCATCTGGTCAATGGTAATTGACTTTGGTTCAAGCAATACCACAATGGAAGTTCCCAGCAATCTGCAAGTACTAATACAATCCTGCGAGTCCTGATCACAAGCTATTACAATTAAGTCGTCCACCTCATCTTTATACTTGACATAATAAGTTCCATCCTCTAAGTGCAGTCTATTGGCGATTTACTGCTGCAACTCAACTAGTCCCGATGACAAAGACAGCAGAAACTTTATTATAATATCATTGATATATTTTGCCTTCACGGTCACGATATTTGCATCTCGTATCACTGCATTACTTGGGTTTGCATGAACAACAGCAGCTGAGGCTTGACTAAAAGGCTGATCAGAACTTAATTATGGAATTAGTTGATGATCAACACCCAGGGAAGATTCACTAGGTTGAGAGGAACCAACCATCTTCTTCTTGCGTGGTGGCCACCTCGGGAAACCATAACCCCTACAAACACGCTTTAGTGTAGATCGGCTAACTGCAAAAAGAAAAATCTAGCTAAGAGACACAACTTTATGTTTGTAGTGCAAAATGTCAAATATTTCTTTATGATAAGAATGTCGAGTTGAAAATAATAAGTAAAATCACAAGCAATATTCTATTTTAATTTGTTAAGAGTGTAGATACCTTGGAGGTTATCTGCAGCATCCTGGATGCTTATTTTTGAATTCTGTAGGATATCATCTAAAGGAATTTCAATTTTAACTCCAGTTTTATTATGCACACTTTTTGGCCTCTTTGTTTTGCCTTTTTCCTGTGAACAAGTAACATCAATGTTGCTTCGTTCCGCACTTACAACATTGCTTTCATTGTTTAATGCATCCATTGATTGTTGACTTGATAAATCCAGTAGTGTCATCTCTCCTCCACTTTGTAAGGGCTCTAGCCTAGGCAAAGATTTAGTAGTCTGGGACATTTGAACAGAATCGAGTTTCTCACCATTCTGAAATGAAATTTCTTCAATATATAAATGTCTCCCAAGTTCTTCTCCAGAAGCAAGCTTAAAAGTACGAAAATTTTTCTTCATCGTTTCCAATATTTTCCTCAATCCAGTTTGTTGATTACCATGCTTGGCGGCATAAAGCACTCTAACACGTAAATGTCATTTCCAATGCAACAACTTTGCAAGCATATTGCGAAACAAGCACCTAATTTATTATCTCGTGCATAGTGTGCCAATGGGTAGTCAATTATGCTAAGTTGGGTTACATCCTTGCACAATAACACATTAGGGGAGTAGAATGCTCTCCCAACAACTCCTTGCCCCTTTCTTAAGTGTTGTTCAACATTGGCCCTTTCAACATTGGCCCTTTCAACAACTCCTTGTCCAACAACTCCTTGCCCCTTTCAACATTGGCCATACCGATTAGTTTGCGGCAGATAACTTCATCAAATTTGAGTATCACATGGAAGATGTCACCCTTAACCAGAGCCCTGCATCTCCAGTCTACCCTGGACGGGGCCCATACTTGAGCAAAATGTAGACCATGAACTTCACTCTCAACTTCCAAGACCTTGTTGATTTCATCTAAGGCTTCACTTCTTTTCACATTCTGAAACTTGTTGAAAAGTATTGTCACGTCCGAGTATTGTCAAAAGATGTTCCTCATCATATTAATTTAAAAAATAAAATAAAATAAAATACCAAATTTGACATTACATTACAGTGTACCACTTACTCTTTCCTTGACATGGTCTGCATCTGACCGTGAAAATTCCAGACCTACCACCTGTAGGGGAATGGAAAGATGCGACTAAGGATTCTTGTACACTTTGAAATGTAGGATATTGTTTGCCAAGAAAAGGAAGCATATAAGAGACTGTATAATGGAAAAACAATTCAGTCACAGCTAAATGAGCATGGAATGCAATAAAAAAATACAACTTAACGTTTTACTTTGCTTTCTTTCTTTCTGCCATAAAGCTCATGCTGAGAAGACAAACAACAAACCATCTTATCCTCAATTCAATAGTTTATTCATTGTATATTTTTGGATCTTATAATTTTAATTATAACAATTTACCATTTAATTTTACATTTTGTGTCACATTGATATCGATAACAACTGTGAGGAAATAATGCAATTACATACTCCTCACATGCCATTCGGCACTGATAAGATGAAAAAAATGAACAAATAATAGTTGTGAGAATGGTTCATCTAGCTTCATCCTGTATTAATTTTTTTAGTCCGATTAGTTTCGATTTCAAAAGATTAGCGCTTTAATTTTTGTAATTTGTGTTTATTGGTCTAAAAAACTATGAATTTTATGCAAAATAAACACGTGAGGAGCACGTAGCCATATTCCATTATAATAGGATGAAATATGCACAAACCAAAAGACTAAAGAAAAAAATTATTGGTCTAATGGATTAGTTGATCCAATGGGCCAGATACCACACATCAGTTAATTTATTAATAAAATGAGTCATTTGTTATACAATTAGAAACTTGAAGAGGTGTGATGTACTTTTCAGAATCACAGGGGACTATCTGTATTTTAAACAAACTATAGTTTTGTAATTTACCCTATTAAAATCACACTTCTCATCTTCTTCTATTTTTTTTGATAATTTTTTTTTCTTTTAAATTTAAATTATCAAAGGAGCACAATTCTGCATACATGTAAGAAAGGAGAGGGGAGTTAATCAATCAATATTAGAAAGACATAAAAAAAAAAAAAAAAAAAAAAAATTGCCAATTTGTGAGTTGGGGAACTAATCTCAAAACAATCACGCAAAACCGCGCAAAAAAGGTATTTGTAAAATAGAAATTCCTTTAATTGCACTGTTGAAACTATCTCAAGTACACCAATACATAAGTGGGTATTAGGATCAAACATAGGGCTAGCCCAAGATAGTTTAAGTTGGCAACGTAAAGCATGGTCGAGCAATGGATACTCTCTAATAGAGTAATATTCTATATTGGGAGTGCATTCGGGAAATCCATGGTTGAACACACGGCCAGGAACCCCAAGTTGTTCATCAGAACTCTCTATATCCATGTAAAATTTATAGTGCTTAGAGATCATCCTATACCCACAAAGTCCTTTAACAGGTCCTTCAACATCATCATCATCATCATCAAATGTACAAAAAGCGAAAGGTTGGTTTTGAGTTGTAAGATAAGACCAGCCCTCCATTGTCATTGTGGGTGCCCAAAATTGAAATAGTGTTGGATATCGAAACCAATATGGTAAACACCTTCGAAGGACATCTTTGATCTTGTCTTTGAAATCGAAAATATCTGATTAATAATAACAATAAAAAATAAAAAAAAAACAAAAACAAAATTGGAGGAGAGAAGTGAGATTTGAAAAGCACGTAATAGGTAACTGTGTCGATTTAAAATTGACTTATAAATTGAAGTCCATTATTAGAAATTAAATAAATAAAACCCATATTCAAAGGAGGAGGAAGAAGAGAGAAAGAGATGAGACATAAAAGACCCACTCACCCGGAGGATGTTCGGATTGGTTGTCTTCTCGGCTCCAGAAAACCCATCCACCGAAGATAAATTGTCCATCATCACGATTTTGCACCACTGGGCGGCAGTTGAGTTGAGTGTCCACATATTTCATGAAATCGTCAGGGAAATATGCTGCTACTCTTCCTTCAGATTCGGCAATTTTCAGAGTATAACTTACCAGGGAATTATCCATCCAAAAAACTTATTAGGGAACCTCAACCCATCCCACCCGGGTCATTAGCTTTATTTATAGATGGACTTATTATTTTAGTTGTTTCTTTTTTCTTTTTTTTTTAACTATTGTATGAGATGAAAAAAAAAAATTATGTTCATAAGAATTTGTAATTTTATTTTTATTTTTATTTTTATAATTGAATAGATAGTTGTGAGAGAAAAAATAATTAATTGACTTGAGGAATGTGATATTTTATCTTACTACTTATTTTAATTCTTTTTTTTTATTATCTATTTTAATAATAAAAAAAAGTCAAAAAAGCTAGACCTGAAACATGAAAGAGCGAAAGGTTGGTTTTGAGTTGTAAGATAAGACCGGCCCTCCATTGTCATTGTGGGTGCCCAAAATTGAAATAGTGTTGGAGATTGAAACCGATAGGGAAAAAAGTTGCTAAGGACATCTTTGATCTTCTTTTTTAAATCCAAAATATCTGATTAATAATAGCAAAAAACAAAATTGGAGGAGAGAAGTGAGATTTGAAAAGCACGTAATAGGTAACTGTGTCGATTTAAAATTGACTTATAAATTGAAGTCCATTATTAGAAATTAAATAAATAAAACCCATATTCAAAGGAGGAGGAAGAAGAGAGAAAGAGATGAGACATAAAAGACCCACTCACCCGGAGGATGTTCGGATTGGTTGTCTTCTCGGCTCCAGAAAACCCATCCACCGAAGATAAATTGTCCATCATCACGATTTTGCACCACTGGGCGGCAGTTGAGTTGAGTGTCCACATATTTCATGAAATCGTCAGGGAAATATGCTGCTACTCTTCCTTCAGATTCGGCAATTTTCAGAGTATAACTTACCTGGGAATTATCCATCCAAAAAACTTATTAGGGAACCTCAAAACCCATCCTACCCCGGGTCATTAGCTTTACTTATAGATGGACTTATTATTTTAGATGTTTTTTTATTTTTATTTTTTAACTATTGTATGAGATGAAGAAAAAAAAAATTATGTACAAAAGGATTTGTAAATTATTTTTATTTTTATTTTTATAATTGAATAAATAGTTGTGAGAGAAAAAATAATTAATTAATTTGAGGAATGTGAAATTTTATCTTATTACCTATTTTAATTCCTTTTTTTTATTATCTATTTTAATAAAAAATAAATTTTTAAAAAAAGTCAAAAAAGCTAGACCTGAAACATGGCCTAAATACAATTTTTTTTTTTTTGGGAAATAAATGTCCACTGCAACAATAAAAAAAAATTACAAATCAATGAAAGAATTTATACATTTTAATAATTAAAACACTATACTTTTTATAATTTTATAATTTTTTTTTTTGGTCAGTTTATTTTCCCATTTTTTTTTTCCGAGTCACTAATATATATTATTATGGGGTTAAGTTCAAAGGGTTATCACTATGCCATCCCTCCTCTCTTTTATCTATTGGGGTTGGAAGGGTTCTAATTACATTCAAATGGTTATCCCATATGTCCTTTTCAAAGAAAAAAGTCCTCAAATCTTTTGGCCTACCAACCGCGTTGACGTGGTTGGAAGGGTTCTAATAAGGTTCAAATGGTTGTCCCACATGTCCTCTTCAAACAAAGTCCTCAATCTCTCCCTTACAGACTTCAAAGGAGCTGTTTATTTGATTTTTAAAATTTGTGTCAGAGAATTTGTTATAACTTTTGCTTCCAATCTATTTGATAGAAAATAACTTAAATGAATTACAACAAATTGATTATCTAAAAGTTAAAAGAAAAAAATGATTTCAGTATGTTTTCAAGTTATCAACTTCTTATATATAATAAGTTACATCAAATACACTTAAAAAAGCTATTTCCTTCGTACCAACTCTTTGCTACTTTTCTTATAAATAGTAGATTAATGATTTATTCATCGAATTTGTTTAGCCCGAATTTGTTAGAATGAGTCTTTTTTCGGGAAGAATCTTGTTTAGCCCAAATTCGCTCAAATGAGTCTCTTTCTGGAAAGAATCGATTCTTTCCGAAAATAGACGAATTTGGACTAAAAAAAATTGAATCAGTCGTGTTTGGCCCTCTTGTTGGCTCTTCTCCTCCCTCTTCTCTTCCGCCATAGCCGAAGCTTCCAAGGACCACCAGCCTCGTCGACGATCCGGGCTTCAGCCATGTCGACATCTTCTTCACAAGCTCTCACTCTCTGGACTTCTCCACCATGGGTTTGTGACCAAAGACCTAGTCATCGTCTTTTCCCTTCCCTTCTAGTCGAATCGAATTTTTCCGAGAACTCTTTTCCGTAGTTCAGGTTTGTTGCTAACTCTAAGCTTCATCTAAATGTGCCATTGGTGCTTTGATTTCAAAACCCTAACCATTGAATATCTGTTATTAATTTTTTTTATCAGTCAAAATTAATATCCATAGCCACCCAAGATAGTTGTGCCATTGGGGCTTTGATTTCAAAACCGTAACCGTAAAGAATGAATATCTGATATTTGTTCTCATTCAAAATTAACATCGATTCTCAGTCATATTCACATTCCTTTAATTGCTTTCACTTTGCTGTTTCTTTGTCTTCTATGGAGATGTCAGTACTTGATTTCTATGCTTCTATATTAGATTGACACTTGTTTTTGCCCAAATTCTATTTAATATTTGGCTCAGCCTATGTATTGTCTTTGTTTTGTTGTTTTGCTACAATTTTATCTTTTGCTCACCATGTTTTTGATAATATGCCCAAACCAATAATAACATACTTTCATTGATCACTTACTGTTATTGATTAGGAAAAACAACTTATTTTTTATTAGTTTGTTTTCCTTGCCTGCAATATTTCGTACCACTCTTAATCAACAATATGATTTCATTGGATTTTCCCTTTTGGTTCAAAATAAACCTTTATACTGTTCTCATCTCTTTGGAATTTTTATTATCTTCTCTATTTTTATTATGTGTGGGGTGCTTCTATTTATACCTGAAAAACAATTCTTTACACCCCCCATTTTATAGTGATCCCGATTTTCCTTGTTGTTGTTTAACTATAATCCGGACTCGGTTCCGTAGATTTGTTGTTGTCTTATTCTCATTGCAGGCCTTTACTCTTTGTATTTGAGTCTTGGGTTGTGTTGGGCTGGTTTGAAACGGGTTGGTTGAACTTAGAAACCTAGAGTTGATGCCCAGAATTTGGCCTTCACGCTCGAGCGGGGATTTTGACGCTCGAGCGGGCCCTTTGTTGTTGCTTCTCCGCTCAAGCTGGCGTTTTGACGCTCAAGCGTGGATTCCCATCTCCCAGTATCTTCCTCTGCAGGTCTTCGTGCGCTCGAGCGGGAGTTTTGATGCTCGAGCGTGAACCTTTGATTTTGTTCGTCCACTCGAGCGGGGAGTTCGACGCTCGAACGGGGACCTTGTCTACAAAACTTTTGGAAGTGTGCAATCTACGCTCGAGCGGTCCTTTCCACGCTTGAGCGTGAGTCTGTGTCTGACGCTCGAGCAGGGGTTTCCACGCTCGAGCGGGGAGTTGATTATATCAATCCGTGAAATCACTTTTTGAATCACTTTTTCACATCCATTTCTCTCTCTTACTTTTCCAAAACTCCATTGTTGAGCCTCTCTCTCTAGAACCTTGCCTTCTCTCTAGGTATTGATCTAGTAGGAGTTGTTTCCTCACCTTTGGCCTTTATAAAAAAGTTGTTGATCGTCGAGGGCTATCTTTTGATTCGAGAAACTTGTGATTTGGAGCATTTTCATTTTCATCATCTTCTTCGTTGGGTGTCAACTTTTGAGGTAGGGATTCCTACTCACTCCTATGGTCTTTGACATAGATTTTTGGTTGTTTTGATAAAGTATTGAAGATGGGTAAGTTTGGGACTTAGGGTTTCAAAACGTTAAATGGGGGTTTTGTCATTTTGATTCTTGAGAATGTAATTTGAGTTTCAAAATGAGGTTATTGTTGTTGGTTGTTGATATTTACACCATTGGGTCAATGTTGGGAAATGGGGTAGAGAACCCTAATTTGTTATATAAATTAATTGGTATCATTAATTTGGGAAAGGTTGTGATTTTATGAAATTGAGTTGGAATTAATGAAATAGATTCATTATATTGTGAAATGGTGGAGTTGGATTTATAAATCGCTCACTTTTGAGAACATTGATATTTTATCTGTTGGGGCTTTTATTATCTGTTTAGAAATAAATGCTTTGGGCTACCGGTGGAGGGTAGCTATGATTGTTGTAGACAATGCATGATCATTAGGTAAAGTAAAACTAATCAATTGGATGTGTCATAGAGTATGATGGCTGATAGAATACATTAACGTTATGTGTTGATTGATTGTGTATAGGACCTATGTGTATATACATTGTTTTGTGTGGGATACTCCACGGTTTATTGGAAGAAAGGGGCTGGACCTCTAAACCAAACGGTTTATTGGAAGAAAGGGGCTGGACCTCTAAACCGAACGGTTTATTGGAAGCAAGGGGCTGGACCTTTAAACCGGAAGGTCTATTGGAAGAAAGGGGCTGGACCTTTAGACCGGAAATTGTGTTGTGTTGATACAGCTCATATGCTTATCTATTGAAGTGTTGATACAGCTCATATGCTTATCTATTGAAGTGTTGATACAGCTCTTATGCTTATCTATTGAAGTGTTTATACAGCTCATATGCTTATCTATTGAAGTGTTTATACAGCTCATATGCATATCTATTGAAGTGTTTATACAACTCATATGCTTATCTGATGAGGTGTTGATACAGCTTGTATGCTTATCTATTGTAAAATGGGAAACGTTTAATATGAATTATTATTTCGTTTAGAGTGTGTGGCCAGGTTCTGAGCCTTGGGTATAAATTTGGAAATTTGATAAGAAATGGAAAATGAAACGAAACATAGACATTGTGGTCATGTAATGGAAATGGTTTATGAATTGATTTATGGGAGTTAAACATTCATCGATTGCTAATGTCTTAGTTACTGCTCATATTGTGTTTAGCATATCTCTACTGGGCGTTGGCTCACCCTATATGGGACATTATTTTCAGGTACAGGTAGCATACCACCTCCAGGGACATAGCTTAGAAGGTCATGGGAGTTGAAGACTCTTTTTGATTATTTTGTTTGTATTGCATGTATATCAAGCCAAGGGCTTATTTTGTATAGAGTTAGTACTCTTCTGTTGTGTAGCCAAGTGTTGACTTGGAAAGCTGTAAGCCTGTAAGGCATTTGCTTTTGTTGTTAACATGTAATACTGTCGTAAGAGCTACTCTGATAAATGGAAATGTGTTGATTTTCTTATATTACTGCATTTCTGATTGATGGGTACTATGTGTGATTACGAGGGCGTTACACATTTAACCATGTACACTCAAGTTTAGAAACACTTAACCTTTATATATCATTTTTATTTTTCAGTGAATATATTTTTTAATATTTTAATAACAATTTAAATGTTTTTTCTATAAAAAAAAAACATGTTCAATTTAAAAAAAAAAAAACATCTTCATATTAGCATGAATAAAATCAATATAACTTACAATTTGATGGTTCCAATTGGCAGATCAAAAGTGCCAAAAGAGAATGAAGATTTGCGAATTTGTAGGCATATGTTATCACGTGTTAGGTACTAACCTTGATTTCTTAGCAGTTCACATAATGTTTCTTTACTCCAAACCTGTCATTGTTACTCACTAAACTCAACACAAACTTAATTCCATACCTATTGTCATTAGCTACAACAAAATCCAACCCCTTCAATTGAACAAAAGAAAGGCCATGGCTTGAAGCCCATCTAAAAGCAACTGAAATTTTGATAGAGTGAATAATATGTTTACATGGACAATAGGTTTGACATTATGGACATGAAAGCAAACGTATATTGCTCATTTTTTAACTTTGTTCATCATTGTTTCTTTATTTTTTTATTTTTAGGTATTTCCGTTACGTTTTGCAAGTTACAATTGGCTATTGTTTTTTGTTGTTGATTGAACTTAGAAATTTGTAAATGGTAGTTTCATTTTAACCTTTATTGCCTAAGCTGTATATCCTATATTAGTTTGTAGATATTCTTTGCGTTGAGTATGGATGTCTTAACCTCCTTGTTTGCTTCTTCTTTTCCTGATGTATATTTGTAATTGATGTGGCAACAGATATCTTTGCCAAACTTTTATATACTTTCTTCTTCTTCTTCTTCTTTTTTTTTTTTTTTTTTGGACAAAATGTACTATAGACTTTCTCGTGATTATATACTTTCTTCTTCTTCTTCTTCGCAATTTCTATATAATGGTGGTTATATACGTATTTTTAATTTTGTTTTTAAATCTATCTATATAATAAATCACACCCGCATCACTTTCCTCCCTCTTTCTGTTTCTTCTCTCTCTCCATCTTCACCACCGGTTTCGGTTCTGCAACCCTTCTCCTTTCCTTATTCCTCACGATCGTCGAACTCATTGACTGGGGGAAGAACTGAAGATTTAGTAAGGTTTTGCAGCTAGAATCTGTTTTTTTTTTTTTTTTAAACCCTGACCATTCTTAAATTGTGTAGTATTCGAAAATCGAAATCGAAATCGAAATATGAAAGTATTTGATTCCTCTATGGTATATTTACAAATTGATTTTATGTTTGATTGAGTTGAAAGCATTATATTAGTTCTTTCGTTTCTTCTAAGTCTTGTGTAAGCAAATTATTTTTAGTGACAATTACCTTTTTCAAAAATTTTGTTTTAAAGAATTCTCTTAGTTTATCATTGTTCTGAGAAACATCTCTGATGTACTCTTCCATTTATCCCTGTGATTTTCTTTATCTTATTGAGTGTAGTCGTTCGTTTTTTTTTGGGGGGGTTGTTAAATAGTTATGTTTTCGCCAACATCTGGAAAGGATTTTTGTAGAGTGATGTTGCAAATTTTCCTAATCCTAATGATATAGGCTAAGTTTATTTGCTTGATGATGATTTCTATATGCTGAAACATAGCCGTAATTTTTTTTTTCTTCATAGGCTTGAAATGGCAGGTTATATGTGTGCATTTAGAGCAGTAGTGACTGCATGAAGTACTGTTTTTGTCATAAGTGAAAACTTTGAATTTTGACTGTAGTTTTAACTTCAAGTCAAACAACTTGAATTGCTATGAAATTTAATGCAAAGTTTGAACCAAAACTATACTTATTGGTGTTGACTTGGTAGTTGAGGTGGATTGTCCTTGAAAAAATGCAGCATATTGTCATTTAGGTATGTCAACTTGTTGAGAAACTCTGTTTGCATATGAGAATAGGACCCATTCTTTATCTGATTTGAAGGAACATTTAGAGATTTATATATAACATATTCACATGTGCAGGCTTTGCTTTTAATCTGATTGTTGTTTTTACCTTTTGTAAATTTGATTTTACAGATTATGATCATAGTTGTTGTTATTGTTATTAGGTTTTAGTTAAAAGTTTTGATGTTTGAGGATTTGAGAAACTATTAGCTCATCTTTGAGAAAACATTATTATTATTATTGTTATTAGGTTTAGTATTTGTTATATTCACAAACTCTATCACTAATTTATAACCATTTCTCTGTTTTTTGTTATTCAGTTTTGGCCATCAATTTCATGGACATTGCCATAGCAATTGCCAACTATCAAAGAGGAAGGTAACATGTAATTAATGCTTCTTCTCTTTTTTCTTTTCCCTTTTTTTAGTGTATAATGGAAAAACAATTATTGTGGTTGTTTGTATAGGTAGTGAGCTTTTTCCCCTGTTTCTTCTATTTTCTTTTTCATTTTTTTTTAAAATATAAATATGTTCCTATTCTTAACAAACATCATGTTTCCACGAGTCTTATGGATGTAAACCCAGAAACTTTAAAGTTGTTACTGTCTTTACTATTTGAGTTTCTATAGTCTAAATGGGTTTTAAATTTTGAAATGGGTTTAAAATATGAAGTGTTTTCTAGCCTCTAGAGATTTATACTATAGTCTAAATAAATTTTAAGTTTTTCTTTTCCCCATTTTTTTTATTATTAATGCCATTTATAATATCTATGAAATTCATGTGTTTGTATTGAATGCTCATTCGAACATGGTCTTCTTCTTTTTAGTTTTGCACTTTAAATGTTTATTTATTTGCTTCTTTGAACTACAATGTAATGGCTTTGATTTTCTTGCATGTGTTTGTATTTAACTTCATATTTCCTACAATAACCGAGGGTTTGACTTTATAATGTCTTAGTGAAAGAAACACACTGTTTGCACTTTGATCAACTCTCACAGCACATCAAACTGGGGTTGAACTTCATTAAACACACGCTTATTGGTTATTGCTTTGATACTTTGTATAAACATTTTGTGTTCTTTTTTTTTCTGACAGTTGCAAGGTCACAAATTAGAATGTCTTGTTCTAGTCTAATTTTTAGTTTTGGTTATTATTGCTGATTTTGATCTTGTGGTATTTTCTTTTTTATTGGTGTATTATTAGAGCAATGAGGGACAAAACAATGATGTCTCTAGATTCATTGTAATTTTGCATTAGACCTTATTTTATGATCGTGTCTTCGATTCATTGCTTTTGTAACGCCCGCAAAATAAACCCATAATATCATACATTCAAGGTACAGAAAAGAGATATTATATTACAATCATCAAAGTATTCTTGCAAAGTGTATTACATGTTGACAATAAAAGTAATTGCCCTATGGGCTTACAACTTTCCAAGTCAACACTTGGTTACAAAAAGAGAGTGCTAACTCTAACCAAAATAAGCCCTAGGATCGACATGCATGTAATACAACAAAAACAACAAAAGGTAGTCTAACAGCCTCAAGCCTCCCAAGCTACGTCCTTGGAGGTGGCATCATACCTGTACCTGAAAATGATATCCCATATAGGGTGAGCCAACGCCCAGTAGAGATATGCTAAACATAATATGAACAATAACTAAAACATTAGCATTCGATAAATGTTTAACTTAGTTATATCCGCTTATAACACATTTCAACTCCATGACTAAGATGTCCATGAGTTATTCCATTTTCCATTTATTACCAATACTCAATTAACAACTATGGCTAAGAGCTTGGCCAAACAATTTAAATGAGACCACACCTCATATCAACATTATTTCTATTTTAGGTGAGGTATAAACTCATATTCAACATTTCATACTTCACAATAGATACACATTTTGGTGTTGTATCAATATCAAACAAAACACTTCCATACTTCACAAATGATACACATTTTAGTATTGTATCAATAACACATAAAAACACTTCCATACTTCGTAAATGATACACATTTTAGTGCTGTATCAATGGAGTCCATCCCCTATCTCCTCCCAAACAAAATCCGGTTTAGAGATCCATCCCCTATCTTCCCCTAAACCGTGGAGTACATCCCCTATCTTCTCCCACACAATACAATGTATATAAACAATTATCATATACACGATCAATCAAAACACAAATTCGATGTATTATTCCAACCGTCATATTCAATGACATATTCAACCGATTAGTTATAATTCACCTAATCATCATGCAGTGTCTACAACTATCAAGACTATCCTCCACCGATAGTCCAAAGCAATTATTTCTAAATAGATAATAAATGCATCAATAGATAAATTATCAACAATTTCAAAAGTGAGTGATTAATCAATCCAACTCCACTATTCATTCTCATAATTACAAAATTTCATTATTTCCAACTCAAATTCATATTTCCTTAACTTTCCAAAACATTATTATATAAATTAATAAATTTATCAAAAATTAGGACTTTTCTCCCCCCTTTTCCAATATTGACCCAAAGGCTCAAATATTATTACTAATCATCAATACCATCATTTTAAGACCCAAATTACACATGTATTGGTCAAAATAACAAAACCCCTCTTTATTCATTTTGAAACCCTAATGCCCAAAATTACTCAACTCCAACATTAAATCAAAATGACCAAAAGTTTATGTCAAAGATCATAAAAATGAGTAGTTATCCCTACCTCAAATGGAGAGACCAAATAGAGAAGATGAAGGATTTCGAAGGTGCTCCAAACCCAATAATTTTTTAATTAAAATGAAGAGCAAGCCAAATCCCACACTTTATATAAAGGGACCAAGGTAGAAGATCACTTGATCTAGATGATTTTATAGAGAAGTTGTAGTCTAGAGTGAAAAGCTCTCAAGTTATTCATTCAATGAACTTTATTAAATAGATTAATGTATCTCATACATTCATGATACATAATGTATCTTCTATTTTAATGAATTCATTAGATAGATTAATGTATCTTGCATATTCATAATAGATACATAATGCATCTTTAAGATTCATTCATAATGAATCCATCACATTCAATGTATTAGCATTAGTCTTCTATACATTATATATATATATATATATATGTGCATTCATCAATAATTAGGCACCATCTAATTGATGTACATGTATTTTACTTAATGAGATGAATCTAGTATAATCATGCATAAGCTCTGAAAAGTTAGAGAGACAGAGAATGGCCCAAAAAAGTGATCCAAAAAGCTATTTTTCGGACTGATATACAAATAGGTCCGCCCGAGCGTCAAAAACCCCGCTTGAGCGTGAAGCCCAAAATCTGGACATCAACCCTTGGTTTCCAAACACAACCAACCTGTTTCAAACCTGCCCAACATGACCCAAGACTCATATACAAAGTAGAGCAATGAGGGACAAAACAATGATGTCTCTAGATTCATTGTAATTTTGCATTAGACCTTATTTTATGATCGTGTCTTCGATTCATTGCTTTAGTCAGTCTAAGTAGATTTATATTTTGTTCACATCCTGGTGGTGAATAACTTCCTTCTCTTATCTTCTTTTTTCCCCCCCCCCCCTTTATTGTTTAACTCTCTGGCCATAAATAAATGGGTTGCATAAACTGATGTTATGTAAATTTTCTTAAGTAACATAGCAAATGTATTTGTGGTTTCAAATACTTATTACATTATTATCACTTGTAGGTTGCAAATTCTTCAATAATGATACCAGGTGAGTTCTTGACATAATTGTAAGTATGGATTTTGTTTAACATAATTGCTTAAGGTTGTTTCAACCTTCTGACTTTTGATTATAAGTGTGTACGTTCCCTGGGTCTTATGTGTTATCTGTTTTCCTAGTGTTATGCAGAATGACTTTAAAAGTGATCCTTAACACACTTCAAGGAAAAAACAATAGAAATAAATATTAATAATAATAATAAAAGAGAAGGAATAAGAGAATACTAGGTCGAAATTTGTAATTTTCTAACACTTGAGGTCGAAGAAAATGTTGTTGGGGGGCAAAACCATGAAATATTACGGTAGCCTCAAACTAAAAAAAAAGCCAAAAAGCCCCTAAACCAACACTTTATAGTAAAAAAAAATAGCTGAAACCGTGGGTTGTCAGTGACAGTGTAGGCACAGCCTATCACTGTCACATTGACAAGTTGTCCCATTATTGGTAAATGACGATTTTTCCCCCTTTACATCAATTTAAAAAAATGTGAGGTTAGGGACAAATTTGTCATTTTAACTCAAACATCATTTCAACACATTTTTCAATACAACAGCTCAAATAAAAATCCATTCCATCTTCCCAAACACAAAAACTAAAATAGTCAAAAAGCCAAAAAGCCTCTAAAATAGCCACCTCCCAAACACCCACCACGTCTATGTACCCAACCTTTGCCCCAGTTCAAACTACCCTAGATCATGCAACTATGTGAAGTATAATACTTCAGCAAATTAATGATGTCTTAGAAACGTAGTCAAAGTAAATTGAAGCCCAAGAATTGTAGATTTATTTGTTAGATAAGAAAAGTAGAGTCATGCATTTAAAAAACGGATACATTTGAATTATGATATGGCATTTATTGTTTATTATGTATTTATATGTGTATGATCTCTTGCAAATATACAAGCAATTGCATACTTCTATTTTTTATTTTTTTGGTTCATCTGCAAGTTGATAGCTTTGATTTGTTAAATTGTATTAACATTCTATTTATCTCTTCTGGTCCCAAGTGAATAGACCCTTATCAAGAATTTTCTATTCTTCATTGTCTATCCAGTTAATGTATCTATGATGATGTTACCCTTACATTTAATTTCAACTCTAGTTGATTAATTCAAACTCTAATGAATCTTATGAACTTTTAGATTTTTTTTTCCTTCCAATTTTTGTTTTATTTAATTTTGAACAAATGAGTAAGTTTATTCTTATACTACTAGCAACCTTTGAACTAATTTGTGTTCTCATTATTCAGGTTAGAAATTGCTTGGAGAGATACAAAATATAGTCAAAGAAAATAGAACATTCAAGAATTTTGAGTTCTCCTTAAATTTTCTCATTTTTTTAATGAGATTTTTATTGTGTAATCACAGTAAAAAAACCTTTTATTTCTTAACTTTCTTTGTATATATTTTTCCAACATTAGACTTTTATTTATGAAACATATAAAGTTATTAGCTATTCATATGTGGTCAATGTTGTGATTCAAAGGAAATTTTTGTCCAAATAATATTGATTATATTTTAGATGTTAGTTCTATTTAGATTTTAATCATGGTTGATATATTGTGATTGATAGTCGGATTTTGTGGTCAAACTTTTTTCTTTTATCACACGCACTAATTGTAATGAGAAATGCATATAATTGTGATATTATCTCATTATTAATCATAGATTATTTAAATTCAATCTCAGGTTTTATTAGTTATTGATCACATTAAAATTTTTGATCTAAATGTTTATTATCACAATCAAAACACGTGATGAAATTATCTTTTAATAATGGTAAAAAGTGTGATCGAAAATGATCCTTAGCAATCACACTCCTAAAAATTATGCTTTGACAAAATAAAAATTT